TTAAGCATTAAATGTGTCATCACAGCTGGCTGCAAAGTTATAGTCGACTTTATATCCGTTTTCTGTGTGTGCCAAACTGCATGTCTGAAAACTTTTACCTGTAAAGCCAGTTGCAATTTTTAAAGCTGGTTCTCTGCACTTTTGTTCACCATAGCCAGTTGCCAAATTAATTCTAGAGCTGGATCTCTGCACCATTTTCATCATATTTAGTTTATTTTTAGTGCAATCCAATTTCACTTACTTTTCCATTTTTAAGGTGATAAATTATAGGCCAAACCCCCTATTTGCACCCTCAATTTATTTTATTTTCACAGTCAACAACTTACAATATTTTTCCTCCCAATTCACACCCTCCACTTTTTCAAATCCGTCAAAAACCCAATATTTTAATTAGCCGTAACAAAAACGTTAATAACCGTTAAAAATTATACTACATGGCACCAAAAAGTAACATAAACGTTATGGCACCTTATTAATCCAATGTGGACTTTTTTTCTTTAATAATGTGGCATAATTAAATCATAATTAATTTTAATTTCTTTATTTTCTTGTTTCCCGACATATCTTTACCATCTTCCTCCTTATCCTCTTGGGTTTCTCATGGAACAAGGAACCCAAGACGTTATTTCACATTTATTAATCCAATGTGGACTTTTTTTTTATAATTTGGTACAATTAAATCATAATTAATTTTAATTTCTTCATTTTCTTCTTTCTCGACATCATCTTCACCATCCTCGCCCTCATCCTCCTTGGTTCCTCACAGAACCCAGGTTCTGAGTTCCTTGTGGAACCCAATTTCACATGAATGCCTACCAAGCTAAGATCTTCATCCACACAATTATAAAAAAATGAATACTGCACAAAAACATGATTTGCATCTTCCACCCACTTCCTACAAAAAATGAAAAAACCGTTATTGCCATTCATGTTAATCCCACTTGAACTCAAATTGGCAACCTGTTTAGAAATAGTCTCCAAGCAAAAAAACTCACCTTTCCAACAAAAAAATTATTTCAAATTGCTTTGCATAAAATAGGAAACTAAGATAAATACATTCAAATAAAAAAATGAAAAAAAAAAGGGTCAAAACCCAGAATCTGGGTTCCCCGCGTAGGAACCCAGAATCTGGGTTCCCCGCATAGGAACCTAGATCTAGGTTCCCCGTGGGGAACCCATTGAGAAAAGGATGGTGAAGATGGAGGATGGTGAAGATGATGTCGAGGATGAGGGGGATAAGGATGAGGGGGAACGAAAAAGATGAAGAAATGCCACGTCATCATAAAAAAATTCACGTTGGATTAATAAGGTTATATAACGTTCATGTTACTGTTTGGTGCCACGTATTATAATTTTTAATGATTATTAACGTTTCTGTTACGACCAATTAAAATATTGGGTTTTTGACGAATTTGAAAAAGTAGAGGATGTGAATAGGGAGGAAAAATATTGTAAGGTGTTGATCATGAAAATAAAATATATGGAGGGTGCAAATAGGGGGTTTGGCCTAAATTATAAACTCAAATGAACAAGTTAGTCATTTAAATATATTTTGTAGTCATTTAAATATATTTTGTAATCATCAAAATTATAAGTGCAACAATAAATATAGGTAAAATTTTAACTATATAAGTATAGTTGATAAGTCAATTAAGTTAAATAAATTGAATAAATAATTTTAAACTTTTATATTTATTACTTAACTTAATATTTATAAATATATTATTTTTATATTATTTACTTGCCTGAAATTTTTATAATTTAAATATAATATTTACCTAAATAAATAAAATATTTATAAATAACAAATGTATCCAAAAGGACCGCAACCGATCCTCACACCTCCTTATATTGACGATTAAATCCCCGGTTCAGTCCTTGAACTTTCATTTTTGAACTAAATTTATCCTTGAACTTCAAAAAGTACTAAAAAAATCCCTAAACCTTAATATTTGGGACCAATGTTGTCCTTCCATCGACGGAAGTGCTAGATAGCACATTAAGTTGCCACAAAATCAAGCTTTTTTTTTTTCAACTAATGACATGGAAAAAACACATGTAAAAATGCGTGAGTTGGCATTTTATCCCTAAAATTACACAATTATCCCTTATCTTCAATCTTTAATATTTGCTGAAGTTGCCAAAATACCCTTATCTTCAACCTCACTAATCCCTCACTTTTCCGGATCTCCTTCAACCTCTCTTCAATTCATCATCTTTGTTTCATTTATCATCACCCATACCATCTCTAAAATTCTAATCACAAACCTAAAAATTCATCATCTTCTTCCTCTTTATTTTTCCTTCCCTCTCCTCCCCATCTTTCTCCTTTCTCAAATTGAATGGGTAACCCAAATCAACTCACGAGGAAAACCCAGATCTAGGTTCTCTTGTTCAATAAATTAAGGTGAAAGGAAAAGGAGGAAAAAGATGGGAGGGAGAGAAAGAAAAAGAAGAGTAAAGCCCTCCTTGGGAAGCCATTAGATCTGGAGATGAAGGGGTCCAGAGAGAGAAAGGTGAGTAGGGAAAAGGAGAAAGTTTTAAAAAAAAATTGTTGTTGCCGTCGTGGTTGAAGAAGGAGAAAAGAAGTCGGCGATGAATGAGGGTTAAGTATCTGACGTCTTGGAGTTGGATTGATTTGGCCCAGCATCACCTGCACAAGCCCTCGAATTAATTCCTGAGGCTCCGAGTCTGTTATCTTTTCTTCTTTCACAAGTGGAGTTGGGTCCATCATCGATGCCTGTGAGGTAGAGAAAGTAGTCTTCTCCGTGCCAGTGGTGTTGGTATCTTCCCTGTTCACATTGATACATTCCCAGAAAAGATCAAACAAAAATAATTAAGACCCATAAAGCATCTACAAGAACAAACCCAAATTGCACAAGCTTTTCCCAGGTTCTTTTCGTAGGAACCCTAATTTGTAATGATTTTTTCAAGAACAATGCAAGAAGAAGAGATAGTTGACAGTTTTTGAATCTTTATTCTCCAAAGACTGGGTCGAGAAAAGCAGAATATAGAGATTAAAGACAGAAAAGTCTAGCTATATTTTAAAAATTAAAAAATTAAAAATCAGAAAACAAAGAGAAAAATCCGGGAAAATTAAACAAAATCAACAATATATAACTCACTTCATCATTAGATTATATTCCTTCATCAATCTAGGGCGAGAGAGTCTGGAAAAAGGAAAGAGAAAATTGTAGAAAGTTTTAGTTTACTCTGAACCAAAACTCTAAAAAATATAAAAATATTTTAGGTTGACCCCACTTAAAGGAAAGGGGAGAAGTATTGGATCTCTGACATGGACAACAAAAATGTTATTGTAATTAGGTTATTTTCCATGTCATTAAATATTCAAGATAAAAATTGATTTCGTGGCAACTTAACAAGCCATCTGTCACTTCCATTGACAGAAGGATGAAATTGACTTCAAAAATTGAAGTTAGGGATTTTTTAGTATTTTTTGAAGTTTGAGGGTAAATTTAGTTCAAAAATGAAAGTTCAGGGATTGAACCGGGGATTTAACCTATATTGACTCCTTATATTGACGCGGTTTGTCCATGCAGATGATGTATGGTCCTTTGTGCCGGCAAAAAGAAAGGCTAAATCTAGGTAGGGATGGCAACGAGCCTCCACGGGGGTGGAGACCTCCTCCCCATCCTCATCAATGATAAGTACGGAGATTTTTACGGGGATTTTTGACAGAGAATAAAAAATAGCCTCCGTCCCCATACCCACAGGGAATGATAGGTTCTCGCAAGTATTTGGAGTCCCCACCAAATAAAACTTGATACTCGTTTCTTGTTTGAGAAATTAACTAAAGATAGAATGAATTAAGAGCTTGAATGAGCCTCAAAATAACAATACGATTATCATTCACTGCAAATGCGAGAAAGAAGCTACACAAGCAGGTAAACAACGAAAATCGCATTCTAACAATCTTGCGAACAATCGAAGGGAAAATGAAATCGAAAATAATAAAGCCAAAAGAATGAGATCTGCTTCACGTCAAAATAAATCATCAAGCACAAATACTCAGACACTCACAAATACTCACAATTCAGGCTCAGGCAAGCTACAAGTAGCTAATTGAAGAATAGAAACGAAGTTATGGGCACTACTTTTCGAAGCTTGCCGTGAATGATAGGTTGAAGGGAATTGACCGATTGAAAAACAAAAAAAAAGCCAATGAGCTCCAGCGTAGAAAAGAGGAGACTGGAGTCTAGAGAGGAGGAATTACAGAGAAGATTCGCAAATCTCATAAATTTGAAATAATCCTTCTAAATCTAGGGTTATTAGCAAATTGGGTTGGATTTGGGCAATTAACTTTAAGAAGATAATGCAAATTGCGTCGGGATTGGGCAATTAAGTTTAAGAAGATTATGGGTTGGACTAAACTATATAATTGGGTTTGGAAAAACTAAAAAAAAAAATTGTTAATTAATTAAGTTGAATAAGTAAAAATTAATTGTTAATATATTTAAAAATATATATAAATAAATTTATTTTTTTTATTTTACATGGGCCAAGGGCTGGATAAATATGGGCCCATAGGTCCAATAAAGAAACAAAGTATGAGCTGAGTTAAAAGGTAAACTGGTGGCCCAATAGGAGTGCCAGGGGCATTCGCCTTTTGCACTCTCCCGCCAACACTTTCACTTTTATTGGGCCACGTTATTCTGCTCGGTAAGAGGTTGCACTTCGAAGCCTGAAAGAAGCTTACGTGGCCCAATGAAAGGGGACGTGTCGACCGGAGAGTGCAAGAGCCGAGTGCCCCTAGCACTGCTCTTACAGAAATAATAGCCTATTCCTAAAAGATAAAAACTAAAGTCACATAGATTTATAGCCTATTTTGTATTTTGGGGGAGGAAAAGGAACAGAATAAACAAATGTGAACCAAATAAATAAATAAAAAAAAAAAGGGAATTAAGAGGTATAAACATAATTTTAAAATAGAAAGGATATGAAACCAAAAAATATCAACAATTATTGAAGAGTCGTGCACTAGTCATAGTAAGAATTTATATGAATTTACACAGGAAATTCTCCATTTGTATTTGAATAAAAGTGCATTGGCAGTGCAAACATGAAATTGCTCACATAAATAACCTAGCATCTTTCTAAATATGTAAGTGTTAGAACCATTACATCGACCAATACACAAGACATTGCATGAAATAAGCACTTTCCCCATACTTGGCCTTGTAATCATTCCAAAGTTGACCAACACTCTTCCCCAGCAGCTCTACAAAATAGTTGTCATTATACCCATTTCTCATCTTCTTATTCAGCTCCGCAACAAATCCATCCATAAGACCATTGCAATAATCCAAAAACCTCGCCGTAACATCGTACCCTTGGTCCCACGGGTCGCCCTGCCCCGCCTGCACCCAGTGGCTCGGAGCGTAGCCTGCTCTCAGCCTCACAAAATCTGCTATCCCCACTATCAAGCCTCGAGGGGCCTGCCCGTTCCCGTTCCACTGCCAGATATGTGTCATCTCATGATATAACACCCCGGTGAACTCCCTCTTGACGCCGCCGGAGTAGTTTCCGAGGTAATTGGCGTCGACGTGGATTTCGTTGTTGGCGGAATAGGCCATGTTGTCAATGAACAAGGTGACTTTCGGCACATTTTTCCTGTCAGCGTCGTTGTTCTGCTGGAACAGGCTCCAGATGAAATCCGCGCCGGCTGTTAGGGTCTGTCTGCTGTAGTCCGTTCCTATTTCGTTCTTGAATCGGATGCCTCCGCTGCTGCTTCCGGCGTTGTAGTTGACGACATATTCGACTGCTGCTTGGGTGGATTGTATGGCTGCAAGGGATAAGAGCAGCGCAGAGAGGAAAAGGGAGTGGCGTAAGCGAAACATGGCAAGTTTCAAGTTTGTCGTGTTCCTTTGGAGGGGATGGATTTGATTTGGACAAGAAATGTGATGTAGTTATTAATTAATTAATATATAAAATGTGAAAATCTGGTCAAAGCTAGATGGCTGGTCTAAGGGACATTTTATATGCAAAATTAATTATGAAATCATTAGTAAATAAATATCATATTATAAGTTAAATATATGATTTAAGTATTAGCTTAACATTTAAAATAATTAAACTTTTTTAAATATAATAGTTAATATGAAATGCGTCTTTAAAATTATTTAAAAATACATCAATTTTAAAAATTAATCTAAAAATACCCCAAAAGGAAAAAATGAAAAACAAATTTGGTCTCTTTGAATTAGATAATAATTAATGTATCCTAAATTTAACACATTTTATAACATAATTATCAATAAATTATTATTTTTAAATTTATGGTTAAACTTAAGCCACTAAAATTTGTAATTTTAAAATTTTTATCATTAATTTAAATTTAAAAAATAATAATTTCTTGCTTAATATATTAATAAATATGTTAAATTTGAGGATACATAAATTATTTTTTCTTAAAATTTTGCTTTTTAAAATTAAATTGTCCCACATAAAACTAAAAAACATTGCCTACAATTTCGGCTGTGATTATGGGCAGGATAGAAATGGTAAAGGAGACGAAAAACTTTAATTTTTTTTAAATAGTATTTTTATTTAAAAATATTAATTAATTAGATTTAATTTATTAATAAATAAATATTAATTATTTTATTAATTATTAATTATTAATAATTTTTTATCAATTAAATTAAATAAAATTAATATTTTAAATATAATATTTTACCATTTTAATAATCATGAAAAAATGCTGAATGGCCTGGCCACTATTTCACATGTACGCAAAGTCAGCACCGCATTTTTATTTGGTTTAATACCCTTTTTGGTCCCTCCACTATAGGAAAAAGCCATTTTTTGATCCCTGTACCAAAAAAATCCCCATTTTAGTCCTTACTGTTTACAAATCCAGCCTATTTTTAGTCCTTCTGTTAAATTTTGGCTAATGTAGCAAGTTAATTAACAAAAACACTCATTCTTTTTTTTAACTAAATTACGTGGAAAATCAATGTGGCAAAAATTGATGACATGTTAAATTTTTTACCTTTAATTACTGATATATCCTCATCTTCTTCCCCGACTTCTCCTTCCTCCAGCCTTTTTTTTTTTTCCTTTTTTCTTTTACCTCCAGGCGAACCCAAGAGCTTGGGTTCGCGAGGAACCTAGCTCGCAATGTAATGTGCCATGGAGGAGCCACCTTATCTTCATCCTCCTCTGTTCTTCTCAAAAACCCATCAGCTCACTTGGGCAATATCCTCCTCATCGCCTCGCTTACCAAACCTTATCAGAATCCGGGACTCGAAACCTTGATCCCAACTCCACCCCCATCTCGGAGCCCTTGGGCAACCAGATTCTTTGAAAGAATTCCCTTGACCCTTCCAAAAAGCTAAACTTTTTTCGATGGTGTTGCTCTCTCAAACCAAAGTTCAAACACCCTGCAGGCACTTACTCACACATGTTCCGTACCCTCTGCGACACCGGGTTCCTTGAGGAAATCCTGAACTTGTTAGTTTCGATGAAGGAAGATGGTGTTGTCATTGGTTTTGAGACTTTCAAGTTCTTGCTCAATGCGTTTATTCAATTTGGTAGGTTCGATTTTGTGCTTGAGATTCTTGATCACATGGAAGAATTGGGTACTAACTTGAATCCCAATGTGTATGGTACTGTGCTCGTTGCTTTTATTAGGAAAAACTAGGTGGGTTTAGCGTTATCTATATTCTTGAAGCTTTTAGAAGCTAGTAATGGTGTTAATAATAGGGATTCTAGTTTGCTTCCAGGTTCAATTGCATTTAATGAGTTGCTAGTTGCTCTTAGGAAAGCAATTAGGTGAAAGGCTATTGCACAGACGTTGCGAACCCAAGATCTGGGTTCGCCTGGAGGTAAAAGAAAAAAAAGAAAAAAAAGAAAAAAAAAAAAGCTAGACGGAAGAGAAGCAGAGGAAGAAGATGAGGATATATCAATAATTAAAAATAAAAAATTTAACATGTCATCAATTTTTACCATGTGAATTTTCCACGTAATTTAGTAAAAAAAAAAAGAATGAGTATTTCCATTAATTAACCTACTACATTAGCCAAAATTTAACAAGATGACTAAAAAGAGATCAGATTTGTGAACAGTAAAGACAAAAAAAGATTTTTTCAGTACAAGAACCAAAAAAGAGCTTTTTTCTATAATAAAAGGACCAAAATGAGTATTAAACCATTTTATTTTAATGAACTTTTAATTCTTTAGTTGACTTAGTCCTAGATTTAGATATGGCAATTTCCTCTGCAATTTATGGAGTTTTGTGAATTTCTTTGCCATGAAGATGGAGATTTTGAAAATATTTCTTCTCGTTGGACGGGGATAGAAGCATTTTTTTTCTCGTAAAATTTTGTAGGGAATTTCCTCCCCTTGCGGAGAACCATAGAGATCTCTTCAGCAGTAATTAAGAATATAAGCATCACCGGCTCATGAGTGTAGTTTCCATCACAAAGGGCTAAAACCTAATTAGAAGCTCTGCTTCTCTGGCCCATACAAGTTACATCAATAATTTGAGCCTACAACTACTTTCTAATTGATTCTTCTCCACACGCTCCAAACAGAGAACCTACATTCAAAAGTCAAAACTATTAACTCATTATTTCATCCAAATGTAGATTCAAATGTTGTTCTAACTTTCTTAAGTCTAGTAGACAGACTTGAATCTTCGCAACAGTCCCTCATTAAGCGTGCATAGGCATTAAAAAAAAAAAAAGAAGAAGTGATATTCATCATCCATTTTGCATAATGTAATATGCAAGGCATCAATTTAATTTAAAAGATAGGATCACACATGTATTTTGACTGGCTGGAAAAAATTCAATGGCAATTTATGAGAAAATACTAAACCTAGTGCGAGCTGAATAGTGGGTTTTTTTTTTTTAAATGACAATTCCATGTAATCAGGAGAAAAAAAAAAAAAAAAGCTTACAGTTGGATACATTTGACTAAAAATACACCGTAACATAACGTCATCACATATGAGGAACAATATGCTTTAACATAGTAATATCTAAGCAATGTATTCTGATTCACTTCTCACAAAAAAAGTCAGTAATCAAAGAGCTGCTACAGATTCAGTTCCCTTTCTAGCAGTGGTTAGTGATATAAGTGAAACTGCTTTTCTTTTAACAAGAACTTCAAGACTAAGAGTGGAGACTCTCACAATCAGAGCTTCTTATGGAACATCTCTATATTCTAATTCAATCTTGGACATTAAGCCAGTGAATTTCTTTCTGACTAGACTAAGACTTTCCTTTGCTTTTCCCTGTCTTCCTTTAATTCTTCTTAGGAAGCATGATAACAAACCACAACCCAGATCTAGATGATTAATGACTATTTCACAATCAAGAAAATTTCTTTCTGCAAATTAGTAGTTCCCCTTTCCATTGTAGAAATATATACTAAGAAAAAAAGAAGTCAGATAATTCAGCAGTCACTAGGATAAGAAAAATGAAAAATTAGGGTAAAACAACAATACAGTACCAGAGATAGGGTTCGTCCATCACTAGAGATGGTATATAGTTTATATATATAGAATCAAAAGACAAACAGAAAACTAGGAAACCGATAT